AGGCAAACGCATTGCGCATTGTGTGCCATCAAATCGTCCGACGAAAATGAAACTGTTTTATGCGCTTGAAATTTGGTCGCATTTCTTTCAAGATCATGTTTAGTTGAAAAAATTTCTACGACAGAACAACTGGACCAGTGGTCACCGGATCCGCGCCGAATTATGGAAGGAGCTTTGTACAGACGTGAACTACGACGCACAGCTGATGGTGTACCGTGAAACGGTTGCGAGCTTCAGCAAAAGTAAGCCGTTCAACTTTATTCGTTATTCCTTCCTACCTCGGTGACAAATTTTTCTGTCGAATTTCCCGATGCTACAATTTGCATACATGGATAGCGCGTAACTCATCCAGGACCAGGTTTCACGACGTACTGTCGTACCATTTGAGGCGGGGGGGCAGGGGGTTAACCAAGTCACGACTCCATAGCATTTGTGCATCTGCTATGCCTTACGATTATTACGAGGAATGTTTCAGAAGCTTGTATGCTTCCTATGTGCTACCTCATGTATAAAGTTACAGATGTAATGTTCTAGATCCTTTATTGTACTGCTTGTTTAATTTGATACATTACGTATACTGTTTATTTTTTTTTAATTTTTCTTTGTGAGTTACATGTCACGATTTGTTCGGCTATCTGATGGGTGAAGGCGAATTGTTGCCCAAAGAGAGATAGGGGTGGTCTATCTCCAGCTTCATGCGTCATGGTCGTACCTCTCCAGTAGCGGTGAATTCCGTGCTCAAGGAAATCAGCGATTAATAATGAAAATTTCTGCGAAACGGACTTAATTCGCCATTACACTAGATTTGTTTCTACTGATTATGAAAAGCTGGAGGTGGTGAGAGAGATCATGTGCTGGTCCACCGGAAGACCACTAGTGCCAGGCGAAGGACTAAAAATTTGATAGTTGTAGAGTTTACTGGTTTAATAAGAATGCAGCGACATCTGACTTCCAGAAACGCTCAGATACATGCAGTTAACTAATTACAAGTTATCAGTTGACAAATTGGTGAATTGTGTCGAAAAGTTCGTTATCGTGATCATTAACAGGATGTTGAATATGTTGCTGATTCATTTATGACATTTCGTCGTCGCGGTCTAATTGACAACTGATAAATATTGCTGTTGCTACGTAGGCATTAGTGCTTGTATACTTTCTTTTCTTTAGACGTGAATGCTAAGCCCGTGTCGTTGACGGCCCCCGGTGTCGTGTTGTGTGACCACCTGTTAAACCCTTGCGGTCATGACGCGCTGATGCGTCTGTTGACGGTCGTCGAACATGTCAGGCCTGATTTTACGTACATTCCGGTAACGTCTGTGTTTTCGACACGTTCGCCGCCGGTTCAAACAACGCTAGTGTGTAACCACGCAGATACTGTATGCGCTGTGTGCCATCCTGCTGCACTACATGAACGACGAGGACGCATTCGCATGCGTCATGACGATCCTGTGCCACAGTCAGAAGTTCCTCATCCAGACTGACATCGCCGTGTCGGCTGCCAGACGCACGCTCGTCGTACTGCTCAAGAAACATTCGGTACAAGGGCGACCCAATTTTTTACAATGCTCTCTTTTCAAGACGGTTGCTGCTACTTCAGCACAAGACGTTCTCGCTGCTTAAAACGCTGCTGAACACTAACGACGATCAACTGGTGATCGCGGCGTTCAATGACTGGAACGCGTGGCTGTTTCGTGATTTGCCCTACTCGCATCTGGTAAGGTAAATGCCATCGGCGGGCTCGGCACTCTGTATGTAACCTTGACATGGCGGTCGTCGTCATTTTGCAGGTGCGCGTCGTCGACTGTTTCTTGTTCGAGGGTCTGAAAGTGCTGTTCCGTTGTACGCTGGCGCTGATGATGCTCTGGAACCGTGACCGATGTAAGTAGCCTCGGTATAACATCTGTGACCGACGGATCGATGTATCCCGACACTTCCTCATACACACACTTATACATATACACCACACATATACACGCACACAACGACGCGTAGCGTGCTGACTGTTGTGTTCGTGCTGCTGGCCGCGAAACGAATTATTAATTAATATTTGTCGTTTACATTTAGCGAAAAGCTTGCGTAGCGGCAAGTCCGCCGGTCCTTTGACTCCAGATATGTTTGGCAAGGAGGTATCCTCGTTTTGCAAGTCAATCAGGTTTTCACCACAGAAGTTGTTGAAGGTGAGGTTCATTTGTTTTTTTTGTCTGTGTTGCATTCCTTCCTCATTCCATTTCGGAATCAGAGCGCCATGAATCACGTGGCGTTGCAAATACCGGTACCCATTTTGGTGAAGTTTTTATGCCCCGTGAGCAAGTAAACGACCATCGTTCGGAACGAGTTCGAAGCAGCGTCGCTGTTCCGATGTTCCGATATTGCGATTTTCCGAGGGCAGTATGAGCAGTCGTCACGAATCTGAAGCAACAACAATTTTTCTGCAGTGGCTACAGATTGTGATGACAGATACAGTGTTCGACAAAGAAACGTACTGCTCCCTCTGTTTGC